AATAATTTTTACACATAACTTACAAGCATTCACTGAGCTATTTGATAAGAGGTATTGACAAGGCTGTCTTTCCTAATGGACGCTGAGGACGTGAAGTCCAGGGAACCTTGTCAGCTTTGTGTCTTAAGCACCCAGCACAAGGCTTGCTCAGGACAGTAAGTGCTCATTAAGTTGGTCAGATAGAATTAAAAGACTCAGGACAAACGCATTTTTAAAGTCTTCACTTTCTTTTGAAATGAGAGTCATTGTAGTAATTGATTTTTCATTTCTAAAAGTTTTTTTTTGTTTTTTCAGAGTTTTTCATATAGATATTTTTACTGTGTTGTTTTTAAAGGTGGTAAATGTGAGGGGGAAAAAACCCCACAAAGTATGCTTTTCCTCTGGTCTCACACCATGACAACAATTAACACAGAAGACCTCTGTGACCAAATGTGTGGGGATTTCTCCCCACCAACAAACAATCAGTTCTGCGGCGGAGACCACCTGAGTGTCCTCTAATTCAGTTCTATTCTGACACTGTCTACCTGGAGATAGTGTCAGATCCCACAGATTAAGGGCTGAGTCCCCAAGACTGTCCCCCTTCGGATACCAGCCACAAGTCCTGGCCTCTGGAACTTTTGCCTGACTGGTTCTCAAGACCCTCTCCTTGGGTTCAATTAATTTACTAGAGAAGCTCATAAAACTCAGGGAGACATGTTTACCAGTTTATTATAAAGGATATTACAAAGGATATAGATGAAGAGATACATAGGGTGAGGTATGGGGGAAGGGGCACAGAGCTTCCATCCCTTCCCTGGACCAGCTGTCTGGAAGCTCTCTGAACCCTGTCCTCGGGCATTTTATGGAAACTTCACTGGATAGGCATGATTGACAACCATGCAGAAATGAGATTGGACAAAAGGGTATGATCTAATAGCCTGCGGAAACCCAGCGAGGCCTGTCTGTTCAGTTCTTTCTGGCCTATCTGTGCAGCATTCCTTCCTCCAGGGTATGGAGCAGGACTCACAATTGAGGGGTCTTACGACGTACAATCAGACAAGGTAGGTGGGAGAATCCTTCATGGCCGGCTCCAAGACAGAAAGGCAGGGAAGAGTCCTGTCCTAGAGAGAAAAAGGAGCAGGTGAAAGAAGGGCAGGAGAAGGTCAGAGAGAGAAATTCCGTGTTCAGAGGCCTTCTCCTGAAGCCTAAAGTGCCCCAGGGTTATAACAAGGGTTTATGGGAGTTATGAGCCAAGAACCATGGATGAAAACCACTATGTGTATGTAGCATAATATCATAGATGGTGAGCATGGTTATTTTCTGATGTGTCTAATTCCAATATACTTAGTCCTTTTCTGTTGTCTGTGTCTAAATAGTCTGTTTCATGTTACTTGGTTTCCTCATGGGTTTAGTTATATTTAACTCCCCGCTGGTCACTGTGATTTACAAGTTATTTGTTAGAGTGTCCCAAATCCTAGGATGAACCTCTGGAGAGGTCTGTGTGTATTCTGGGATTCGAAGGGCAATTCTAGTCTGGGACCCCATACCCATGCAAGCTGACAGTTTGAAGTTCCCTGGCGCGCCCAGGCGTAAGGCTCAAAGGTTTGAGCCTCGTTTGATAATGGCCTGGTTAATGGCCACTATTTCTGAGGATGGGTCTATTTTTTAATTTCCTTTTTCTTTTCTTTGATTTGGAACCACTCTAGCCTTCTCTGTGGTCCTATAAGTTTGGGGACGGGCAGTTTTGATGCTGTTTATTTTCCTGAGAGGGCAGCCCTCTGTGGCACCCATCTAGATGTGAGGAGGGTCTCCTGTCAGCTCTTGGGTAGACCTTTGGCCTTGAGTCCTGGCTCTCTTATCCTGCTTTTCTGAGGTTACAGAACCAAAGCTTAAATGTGTTGTCAAGGACAATTGGCTCTTTCTTCCCTAAGTATCCCCAAAGATTGGCCCAGGAGAGCCTATTCTCTTTTAACTTTTCAATCTTTTAAAGGTACTTCCCGCCCCCATCCCCCTCAAGAAGTATGTATTGTATCCAGGATTTTCCCTTTCCTTTCCCCTCTCCCCCTTTCCTTCTCTCCCTTCTTTTTTTTTTTTTTTTGAGACAGAGTCTCACTCTGTTGCCCTGGCTAGAGTGAGTGCCGTGGCATCATCCTAGCTCACAGCAACCTCAAACTCCTGGGCTCAAGCGATCCTACTGCCTCAGCCTCCCGAGTAGCTGGGACTATAGGCATGCGCCACCATGCCTGGCTAATTTTTTCTATATATTTCTAGTTGTCCAATTAATTTCTTTCTAATTTTTAGTAGAGATGGGGTCTTGCTCTTGCTCAGGCTGGTTTCGAACTCCTGAGCTCAAACAATCCTTCTGCCTCGGCCTCCCAGAGAGCTAGGATTACAGGCGTGAGCCACCGCGCCCGGCCACCTTCCTCCCTCCTTTATTCCTCCCTTTCTCTTTCCTTTCTTTCCTCCTGCTCTCCTTCCTTTCTTGCAGGATAGTTCTTAATAACCTAGCCCACTACTCCTGGAAATAAGAGATCTACAAATCAATTTGGAAATAGTAAATTATTAACAACTGAGTATAAGCTTTAAAATGTTCATTGCCTTTTGGGCTTTGTGTTAGTCCATTTTGTGTTGTTACAAAGGAACACCTGAGACTGGGTAACGTATCAAGAAAAGAGGTTATTTGGCTCACGGTTCTGCAGACTATACAAGCATGGTGCCAGCATCTGCTCCTGGTGAGGGCTTCAGGGAGCTTCCAATCAAGGTGAAAGGTGAAGGGGGGAAGCAGGCATGTCACATGGTGAGAGAGGGAGCATGAGAGAGCCTGCGCTCTTTAAACAACCAGTTCTTCCATGAACTAGTAAAGTTGACAACTCACTAATTACCACAGGGAGGGAACGAAGCCATTGATGAGGAATCCGCCCTCATGACCCAAACACCTCCCACCAGGCCCCATCTCCAACATTGGGGATCAAATTTCAACATGAGATTTGAAGGGGACATGTATCTAAACTATCTCAGACTTCTTTTAAATTTGTTATCAAGGTAGATAACATAGATCACAAGTCAGTCTAAAAATATGTCACTTAGATGTTTTCAGTAAAAAAAACCCTAAAAGTGACCCCCAATTATAAAAAACTTCCCAAGAAATTGAGTAACTTGAATGATTAACCTAACTTAATACAATTTACTCATTAAACTTACTATCAAGACACTCCCTAAAACAAGAAATCTAACTGAAACTGGCTTAATCCCCAAAGGGTATTTATTGGCTCAGATTGAAAGTCTTGAAATAGATAGCTTCAGCAACAACTAGATCCAGGAACTCAAATATTGTCATTAGGCTTAGTGTCTGTATTTGTCTGATCTTCTGTGTTAGCTCCAGTCTCTGGCAAGCTCTCCTGTGATGGCAAGATGCATCTTAGGAACTCCAGACTCAGTCTACTCGGTCTACATATCAAACTTCGTTGATTATGTATCCAACAGTGAAACTTGAGCATAATATTCCCGATGTGTGTATATTTCTTTATCAATGACATGCTACTATATACTACTCTTGTATGTGTTATATAATGTTACATTGTTATATATGTTCTCATAGTTATATTATCTACTTACATATTATTCTATGTTATATTCATTACTAGAAGAATTCAATTTTTTAGTTTTTTTGTTTTTAAGTTCTTTTTTTTTTTTTTTTGAGACAGGGTCTCACTCTGTTGCCCTGGCCAGAGTGCCGTGGCGTCATCCTAGCTCACAGCAACCTCAAACTCCTGGGCTCAAGCGATCCTACTGCCTCAGCCTCCCGAGTAGCTGGGACTACAGGCATGCACCACCATGCCCGGCTAATTTTTTCTATATATTTTTAGCTGTTCAATTAATTTCTTTCTATTTTTAGTAGAGACGGAGTCTCGCTCTTGCTCAGGCTGGTCTTGAACTCCTGAGCTCAAAGGATCCGCCCGCCTCGGCCTCCCAGAGTGCTAGGATTACAGGCATGAGCCACCGCGCCCGGCCCTAAGTTCTTTTTTTAATTTTAAAATATTAAGAGGGTACAAATGTTTTTGTTACATGGATAGCTTTTTTAATTATTAAGTCAGGGCTATTAGTATACCCATCACCCAACTAGTGTTCATAGTACCTGTTAGATGGGCAGTTTTTTAGTTTTTAAGATAAAGAATAAAATAGAAGTACTAATATATGTTATACTCCCAGTGGATTGTTTTGCACACCCCACTTTGGGACTATTCAGTGGAAAGGCTACATTTCTCCATACAATTAAAATAACAGTCCTGGGACCACATCTTATTGATTCTTTTTGGTCTAGCTTAAGTTGTGTGCCCATTCCTGGGTCCAGAGTCCTTGAAATAGTAAAAGCAAAATTTTACTAACATTAGTGACAAATACCTGATTAGGTGTAAATAGAGTTGCTCTTTGAACTTTTTAAAGCTATTTGTATTCTGGAACCTTATAATCACTCATATTTTTTCCAAAAAAGGGGGACATAATCCTTCTCTCAGTCCAGAGTTACAGAACAAAGATTGTCTACTTCCGTAACAATCTAATTTCATTAGTCTATACTAAATTTCTGTAATTTCATACTTAGAGTATCATGAAAGTATCCAATCTGGTTTTTGTTCATATATACACATGCAACTCACACAGCTTACTTAAGCACAACGTACACATACTCGACACAAACATAAGCATACACACTTTCTTGAAATACTTCAGCTACAGATGAATGCTTTATGTTAAGATGCAGGAATGGATGAGTCTTGCAAGTAAATTGTATTTTTATAATCCTCAATAATGGCCATTTTGAACAAGAATGGTGGCTACATGGAAAGACAAGTGATAGAGGGTACAGAATAATCTTCAGGCTTCTAAAGAGAAAAGGAGTTCACTGATTGGAGAGAGAGTTTTGTTAGTATGAATAGCTAAAGCATGTGAACGGAAGGTATTTTTCAGGAGCTTTCTGAGGAACAGGTTGTTCTGGGTATTTAAAAATTGATCTTCTGTGGCAGAAATGCAATGGCGCATCTTGATTCTGAGGTGAAAGAAGAATGTCTGAGGGAAGACCTGAAGTTTTACTTCATGAACCCTTGTGAAAAATACCGAGCCAGACACCAGATTCCATGGAAACTGGGTTTGCAGATTTTGAAGATAGTCATGGTCACTGCACAGGTAATTTATATTACCATCTCATTCAGTTTTTCCCTTATTCCAAGATGAAACTGTTTTCGTGTATTCTGTTTTTGTCTGTTTTGTTGTTGTTGTTTGAGACAGAGTCTCATTGTGTTGCCCAGTTTAGAGTTCCGTGGCATCAGCCTGCCTCACTGCAACCTCAAACTCCTGAGCTCAAGCGATCCTCCTGCTTCAGTCTCCCAAGTAGCTGGAACTATAGGCACAGGCTACCATGCCTGGCTGATTTTTCTGTTTTTAGTAGAGATGGGATCTTGTTCTTACTCAGGCTGGTCTGGAACTCCTGAACTCAAGCAATCTTCCTACCTCGGCCTCCCAGAGTGCTAGGATTACAGGCCTGAGCCACCGAACCTGGGCTGTTTTCATGTATTCTGTAGTTTTGTTCTGAAAAGTCCACACTCAAGTTGATAAAACTATAAAATTATTTTGACTCTAAAGGGCAGATGATAGGTTGAAGTTCAATTCAGAAGATGACCTTGTTTTATAAGATATGAGGTCATCTCTCTATAGGCTTTGTAAACACTAGATAAATGTAGACCTGTATTGAGGGGAGTTTCTGTACCTGAGTGAGGCACATAGGCTGGCCAAGACTGTAAATCCAAAGTGATTTGTATTCTTGTCATGTCTCATCTTTATTCAAATACACTTTACTCAAATATACTTTTGAAATAACACTTTTTTTTTTTTTTTTGTCTTCAGACTTACAGAGTGCTAAATTTTTCTTTTATCAGTAGCAACATGCTCTAAGTACTAACCCCCCAGGCACTATTGGGAGTGTATTAATACAAAACTACCTTTGGACCTTTTGTTTAAGGTGAGCACTCTCACCAGTATCAAAACAGTCATCAGAGTTGTCATCTAGTTTTTGGGCTCGCAGTATAGAACCAGTTTTCAGGAGTCTCCTCTATAGGTAACTACATTTGAAACTTGTGTCCTTTTAAACTGATTGGGATATTTGGCTCTTTTGGCAAATAATCATTCGGTTATCAATGTAGAAGTGTGTAAAGATCTTATTTATGGAACATAAAAATAAATACTTCTTAAAAAATACCTCCATATAGTTCTAGAAATGAGAGGAGATTCCTGCCCAAACTGAATTTGCTTCTTTATTCTTTAAGGAAGGCTTTTGGTTGCATGATGTGCCGTATTGACCAGCTCATTAAGTTTTAGTGAAAGACTTCAAAAGAAACAACAAGGTTGAGATACAGGAACACTGTTAAATGTATATGATTATTATTAATTTTTTTCATTCTTGGTTTTGAAGTTTTAGATTTGGCAACCAATGAAATAGGTTCATTGTTAGCATTACTTGAAGAGGAAATAATGTCCCCTTTTGTCATTTGGTTAATTTTAATTGTTTCCCAATTTCTTCTCTTGCTAAACCAGCTTCCATTCCAACTTTTTGATTTACTAATGTTACTAAAATTCTAACTTATCTGGGCATAAAATGTCATTGCAATCTTTGACTTATCTTCTTATTCTGACACCTACTAAATCTTGTTGATTCTTCCTTCAAAACTACAGCTATTTATGTTTTTTCCATATTTACCATCTCTCTAGCACAGATTCTTATGTCTTTAGTTAGTTAAAAATGCTTATTTTCTAAATATATTTCTGGGAAACTGTAATTTACTTTTCCTGTGGATATATCCTGTCTTCCCTAATAAAATTGGGAGGGATTAAACCATTGTTCCCCTGTAGGATCATTCTAATAAATTTTGCTATTTGGGTGATACTAATTGGAGCCGATTTCTTGAATACCTTCCTTCCACCAAATCCTACTTTCCCCTTCTCTTCTTTTTCTGTCTTTTAGTGTTATATCCTCAAATCTAATGGGATGGGTGACCTTTTATCAAAGTAGATGGGAAAGAAACTTTTAACATTCTTGCTCTGCATTCTGCAGTAATTTATAAACTCAACGGAGGTGTCTACATTCTTTTGCTAGTTCTACTCTTTCCCTCCCATATTCTTTGTACATGATTAGAGTGGTGTCTTGTTTTTACCTGGTACAGAATATTTTCTGCTACAACGATTTCATAATGAGGTTTTGAATTCACAGTCTTTGCCAGACTACCACTTTATGAGTAATTAGTTTTCTGTTTTGTGTCATATTCTCAGAAAATCTTAAGATCTAGTTAGTGAGACTAAGATACAGTTTTGTCGTCAATTCCTTTTAAAAAATAAAGTCATTTGGCCAATACCATCATCCCTTACTCTTGTTCTGCAGGGAGTGTTTCATTCTATCATAGCAAGAAAGGGACTTCCTACCCAGAGTTTGTCTTCTTTAAGAGATGCTTTGAAAATCCCAACAATTCTCTGATGCTGGGCCATACATGTGGACCTTGGCTTTTCTACGAACAATTGAATGGAGGAAATTTCTCGGTCCTGATGCTGGGTAGGGGTGGGTCCAAGCAGAGATTACAACTCCACATCCTCTCATTCCCAAAGTTCAGTTGATGAGCTTTGAGTTTAAATAACGTGACTTTGAATATCAGCAGACTGTATGCCACTTTCTTGGTAAATTTGTCTGTTACCTATTCACATTTTTTTTTGTGTTTCTTTAGCTTCAGTATGAGTGTGGGAGGAATGATTCTAATGTCTCTGCTTCTAGAGTTAAGTTGGCAGCATTTCAGTTTAACACATTAACTGATATATGAGTTGTCTTTAACTCACGCTAGTTTTGAGCCTGGGGCCTTGTGAAGCACATGTAACTCACACGTCTCTACCTTGGGAGCCACGTAAACTGTTTTTCAACTTGCATATAACTCATGCACAGAAAACAATAAAAAATAACAAATTTTTTATTAAATAGGAAGGATTGTTTTGTTTAGAAGTTTTTATTCTATTTTCGTAATATAACACTGTGGCTTCAAGGAAAAAATTTTTTTTCTAGTGTGGCAGTCGATATGTTAAGAGGTAGTGTGGTCAAGTGGTTGAGAGAACAAATAGGTTCTAGAGTTAAACAGACCTGGGTTCAGATCCTCACTCCAACACTTTCCATGTTCCAACTTGGATAAATTACTTGACTTTAGGTTGCATATGTATGAAGTGAGATTACATTTACCAACTGATTCAGTGTTTGACTCTGACATTGTGATGGGCACTATTTCATTTCCTGAACATATAATAGTAGGGAAAAAATTCCCTGTCCTTGTGGAGCCCACTATAGTAGCTCCTTCATAGGGTTTGGGGGAATTAAATGAAAAATAATAATTATAAATTTTTAGCAAAGTGCCTGGTACTCAATAGATAAGAGTTGTTATTCAACACCATGCAGTTTTGATCTTGCCCACATTACATCAAAGCTTAGCACAGAGTAAGCACTCAGCAACCTTTGGTTGAAGAACTTAATTCATGTGTGTATGTACCAGTTTTTTTTTTTAATATGTGTGTCAGTATGTTTAATAAAACCTTGAAACTGTCGTGTGTGTTTGTCCCCTGGTTTATTTTTTTACCTTTTAAAGAGCAATGTGACCCTTTCTGACTTCTCCTACAAGCACAATTGACAGACATCACGTGCTTAGAAGAGCCTGTAACCTTCTGTTGTTTCATTTTCAGCACAGGTTGGATGATGTGAGACTTCTTATCTGATGTTTTCCTTAGAATATCTGGGTTTTACCAGTTGCTCAATCCTTTGACTTGGTATTCGAGGAATGCGACATGGTGAGAGTCAAATGCTAGAGTGGTATCTATGTAGATTCTCAAACTGTAGTTGCCTTTCATAATTCTAAAAAGCTAGGACTTAGATAGTTTTTTATAAGAAGTGTCCCAGAGACAACTTTTTCAGCAGAAGGACATTGTTTGTGTAGCATAATAAGGATGATTTTGGAATTAGGCCTGGCTTTTGTTCTAGTTAGGTGACTTGGGCAATTTAGTGGGGCTAAAGTTTAGTTTCCACATATGTAAAATGGGGATAAGAGTAGTAGCATTTTCATAGGGTGGTTGTGGGTAAACGAGATAATGTGTGTAGTACAGTTACAGTTAGTACAGTGCTTGGCATTTCATTGCTGAAAAATGGTGGCTGTTATTTTTAATTATTTAGTCTTTAAAAAAAATTCAGACAAAATGTTAAAGCTAAAAATATAAACCACTTAAAAAAAACCCCTTATGCCAGTTTGCATATGCAAATTAACAGTTTTATCAGAATTGCTCATAATTGACATTTTGTATGTTATTGTTCCAAGGTATCATATTGAACCTTAGAATGACAACAAATGATGGAACTGTCTAGGTCATGTAGTTAAACTTGCTAATTTCACACATGAAGAAACAGTCCCAAAATGCTTTGGTGACTTAGTCAAATGAGGACTTGGGCAGACTTTCCAGAGTCTCATTGTTCTGTAAGGCAGCCGAGGAGATCACTTGGGGATCTGGGGAAGGGTGTGTGAGGCTTACAGGGTTTTGACTTCACCACTACCACTGCCTGTGTGTATACGTGAGAGAGACGAGAGAGATGAGAATGAGAGTGTGTGCGTGTGAGAAAGTGGGTGTGTGGAGAGAAAGAGAGAGGGAGAATGAGTGTGTATCTGTAGTTTCCTATATTTTTTGTGAACTTTTGGTGCTGACTAGTTTCCCCATTTATTGAGTTTCAAGAAGAAAACTTTCACTCCTGGTGAAGAGAGCCCTTGGGTACCTAACCTTGTGCCAGAATACAGTGTAAGGGAGAATAAGTAGGTGTTTTATCAGGAACAGATGGGTACTTGGTGACAACATGAGCTTGACATCTTATAGGTAAAGCAAGCCCTGTTGTCTTTCAAGTGCTTTGATACTGTAGATCTTGGTGGGAGAAATTCTTAGATGTAAATCTTATATAAGAATTCTTGCAGAGCTGGATTAATTGAATTCTTTAGAGAATTATTACCTGTTAGCTGGAGTATTTATGGAGGCCACTTTTCGAAAACATTTTTGAAAGCCACATGCAAAACATAGTGTGATTTTAAAAAACATATGTATAATTTCTAAATATTAAATCAATAAAACATGCGTTATTGCTACATTTACTAAGTAATCAATTTTGAAAACAATTTGAAATTCAAGTATAAGAAAAATGGATTCAGATTTAACTGACGTGGATTCTTTCTTTCTTAATTAAAGATCAGTAGGGTCTTTAGTCATTGGGAGTGATAATCCCTTTTAGCTTTATACTACTTTGAATTGCTGATGTAGCTTAATGAGGCTATTCATTTGGGACTTGTATTTTGACATGGATGCTATTAATATAAACCAAAAAATTTATCTTTTTCTTCTGCTGTTTATAGGTGAGGGTTGATGATAATAAGAAGTCATTTGCCTTCCCTGGTAAATGGTAAAGTTTATGTATTCCTATTTGATTTTCTTTTCTAGCTTGTTCGTTTTGGTTTAAGTAACCAGCTGGTGGTTGCTTTCAAAGAAGATAACACAGTTGCTTTTAAGCACTTGTTTTTAAAAGGATATTCTGGTATAGATGAAGATGACTACAGCTGCAGTGTATATACTCAAGAGGACGCCTATGAGAGCATCTTTTTTGCTATTAATCAGGCAAGTGTTCTGTTATTGCAAATGACCTATACTTTAAGTACATATTGATACTGGCCTTACCTTAGGAAATAAACAAAAATTATACATATATTAAAATATTCTAATGTAAATTTTGCATAATCTACCAAAAATGTTTATTGCTATTTCCAAAGCTACATTTCCACACAGTAGAGTTTGCCTATTTTGAATTTTTCTTTAAGATTTATATTATTTATTTATCCCTTTATACCCCTACTTTCGGGAGGTTACCCAAGATCAAGATTTGTCATCTTAGGAAATTTGATGAAGATTTGATACCAAATCTAAGATTCTACAGTCTCAATTTTGATGCCTTAGCATTAATAATCCTAGCTGAATCTTAAGAATATGGAATATGATATAGTTATATCTAAATAGGTATGAGAGAACGGATTGGTAGACCTGAAGAAAGAATTTAGGGGAGAGAAACTGTTCTTATTCTTTTTCATTCATTCAATAAATATTCAAGTACCTAGTAGGTAGCAGGTGCTATTCTAGACATTGGGGATATAGCAGTGAATAAAACAGATAAAAACCCTGCCCTTACAGAGCTTAAGTCTAGAGGGGAGAGATAAACAAATAAAAAGAAGTAAAATGTATCAAATGCTGGCTCCCTGAAAACACCACCCAAAAAAACATGTTGGTGAACAAAGCTGAGCTTATTGCTTACAGTGATAAGGGAGATGCTATCTTGATCAGTCTCAGTAGCACCTTGGGTAGGGAGGGAGTTCTTCAATGTGGGGGGAGCTTGAGTAGAATTAGGTAAGGATCAGGATATAATAGTTAAGGATTGGTTGACACCAAGGTGAGGGTGGCGGGGCAGCTTCAAAAAGTCTTGGAGTTGTTATCAGACTAAATCTTCAAATTGGTTGTCTTTAAATGAGTTTTTTGGATGTTCCTGAAATAAACGGTACAGTTATTTGCAACTTTTATGTTCCAGGGCAAAAGCTTCCTGGGATAGTAAAGCCATATTAATGAAAATGTGGGCTAGTAAAGCCCTGTTAGTGCAGATAGCCAAACAGTAAAGTGGTGTTAATGTCAGCTAATGTAAGGTAATGTAAGTTAATGTTAGTTGTGTTGATGCAAGCTTGGGGTGTGCATGGCTTGGGTCCTTAGTGGTATGTCCGAAAGGGGTAACTGCTGAGGAATAAAGCAGGGAAGGAGATGGGGAGTGCCTGGGCGTGGTGATAGATGTTTGCAATTTTATTTTTTATTTTGAATTGACAAATAGTAATGGTATATATTATACATTTATGGGGTACAATGTACAGCTTCGATATATGTTTGCAATTTTCATTGGTAAGAGAAGGCCCCATTGAAGTGGCAATACCGAGTTGAGACCCAAAGGAGCGAACCAAGCAGGTGGATACCTGGGGTTCCAGGCAAAGGGAGCAGCAAAAGCCAGAGGCTGAAGTATGCCTGGCAAGCTTCCAGGAACTTCCTGGAGGCCAGTGTGGTTTTGTGGGGTAGAGCCAAAGGGACAGCAATCGGGATGAGGTCATAGAGATAAGGCAGAACCTTGGCTTTGGCTCTCAGTGAGATGCAGCCCTCTGTAAGCATGTTTACTTTAGTTTTGAGTTCTGTGAGGCAGTGTGTTCCTGCACAATCTGAGAAAATTTCTTTGTGATAACTTCAGTGGGGAAGTTCTATTGAGGGGCACGACGTAAACAATAAAAAGTAGCTATTATAAAAGTGCATTCCATATGCAGTAACTTCTGATCAAACTTCTAAAAGTTCGTATGTGTTTTTATTTAACTATTTTTAATAGTATCATCGTCTAAAGGACATTACCCTGGGGACCCTTGGTTATGGAGAAAATGAAGACAATAGAGTTGGCTTAAAAGTCTGTAAGCAGCATTACAAGAAAGGGACCACGTTCCCTTCTAACGAGACACTGAATATTGACAGCGACATTGAGATAGGTAATGCAATGATAATTTCATTATATGTCTTTTTTTTGTTTGTTTGTTTGTTTGTTTTTTTTTTGAGACAAAGTCTTGCTCTGTTGCCCGGGCTAGAGTGCCGTGGCATCAGCCTGGCTCACAGCAACCTCAAACTCCTGGGTTCAAGCAATCCTTCTGCCTCAGCCTCCCGAGTAGCTGGGACTACAGGCATGCGCCACCATGCCCGGCTAATTTTTTATATATATTTTTAGCTGTCCAGCTAATTTCTTTCTATTTTTAGTAGAGACGGGGTCTTGCTCTTGCTCAGGCTGGTTTTGAACTCCTGAGCTCAAACAATCCACCCACCTCGGCCTTTCAGAGTGCTAGGATTACAGGCGTGAGCTACCGTGCCCAGCCTCATTATATGTCTTTATCATCATCTGTGGCAAGAGTAAAAATGCTTTCATGTGCTGGCAACCCAAATGGAACAACTTTGCTTTTGTGAGAGCTAACTTTTGCTATTAGAGACTGTCACTTTAACATTTGCCTGCAGAGGGCTTTGGCTCAAGAAACCCCTGTGGCTTTGGTGATGGGACAGGGACAGCATTCGTGGATCTTTTTAGTGCAATTCAGAATTGCTGGTTTTGGGATAATGCACAGCTATTTCCTGTTGTTTAGGTTTTGTCCCTCCATGAGGGGACAATTAGGCTTTTTGAAAAAATGGCCTGTATGTATTAAATGAAATGATATATGTAAAAATGCTTTGTACACTTGTTCTTATTATTTGTATATAAATGCTCTTCAAAGGTAAATTGTGATGAGTAACTCTCATTTTCTCTTTTAGGAGATTGCTTGGCAAAAAGTTAATAGCTAATCAAGTAGAATTGTGCCATTTTGTTAAGAATTTAAAGGCACACCATATGTAAATGCAAACTGTTTGACTTAAGACTTTGGGGGTTTTGTTATTCATTCAATAAACCTGGTATATAGCCACCAGGTCAGGGCACTCAGTTTTATGTACTGGAGTTGCAAAGATTAATCACTTGTGGCTCCTCAAGTACCTAACAGTTTGGGAGTAGAGGTCCTAATAGCAGTTTAAATTTGAAATGGTTTTATTAAAATGAGAGATCACATTTGACCATATTTTACCATATTTCCTATAATCTGATCTTAAGGTACCTTGGTGACACAACAGGAGAACACCTCCATACGACAAGGGTTTTAATTCTGTTTCTGCAGACTTGCTGTTCAGAATCTCTTTATGAGCATTATGTGTTGTGTGCTCTGGACGCTGAAAGAAGGCAGCCCGTCAGCCAGCACCATCGGGGCCCTTGTGGTGTCTGGCTCCCAGGCTGCTTTCAGAGACCATTTAGAGGACGGTTGCTTGGTTTTGTAGCCAACAACATTGAAATGCGGTTTGTCTTACTGCCCTGGAGGCTTCTGCTAACCTGAGATCTGTTTGGTGGTCCACCTACAGAGGCTAATCATGGTTTACTCTTAATCTTTTACCTCAACTGTGTTCCTCCCAGTGGGTCATTTCCTATAGCTGTGATAGGAGGACTTGATAGGTGGGGCTGAAAGCTTGTCCCCTCACCCTGTGTTTCAAGGAAGCCATCTGTCACTTGCCCTTTTGAAAATGTGCAACTCAAACTGTATGCACCATATGGCTGTTTCCCAGGGATTCATATGCTGTTTTTTCTCAATTGATTTTTCTTGGAAAAATTGATTAAAGAAATGTGGCCAAAGTCAGTATCAGTAGTAGATAGGACAGGACTGGAAAGCAGGATTTATTCCCTGACCATTGGACAGTAGTGCCCTGGTTCATTTCTTTTCAATCGGAATGTGGACAGAGGTTGATTATTAATTTGACCTTATTTTAAGATAAATTGCTTGAGCAGGTTAATTATATTCTTTGACTTATTACATATGATTTGTCAAAGAGAATCTTTTGATGTATTTATTCAGAATGTGTAAAGATTTTTAAAATACTTGATACTGGATTTTAGCCCCACTTTTCTTGAATACATTGGAGGAAGCCTGTGGATTATATAAATAGGAATTGAGTTTTACTTCATTAGTTTGGCATTATAATTTAAGTAGGTGAACTAGCAGAAGCTGTTCTAGATTAACTACCCGTGAATTTTGCATTATCTTTACTATTAAGAGAATCATCCCTTCATTGTGCTAAATGCAAAGATCTGCCTCTATGCCCAGCTTTCCCTGTAGGTTTATATTTAGTTGCACAACTGATTGTGTAAATCAAGGCCAGCATTTCCTTTAATTCGAGCTAGTGGTCATATCGCTCCTGGTTCTGCCTCTAGAATGGTAGCTTTCCAGGTCAGCCTCATTGGGGTGACTGTTACGAATCCTGTTAAAAAAATTTTTTTAAATAACATTTGGGTGGCTATTATTCTAATATAGCGTTTCATTTTCTGTAATATAGTTTTTGAGTTTCTTATGTTCTTCTCTCAACATGTTCTTAGCATGAGACATTTTGACCATTTCATCTATTTTTCTTGCTATCTTAAGATCATGTCTAATCCATCCACTAAGAGGGTTGTTATTTCATTAGCTGAAGTATTCTGCTCTGTAAGCAAGATTCATTTGAGTGATAAGGCTGTTAATATAGATATCAATTTGTTCTGCTTTAAGTTTGATGTTTTACTCAGGGTTTTTGCCATCCTTTTACAGAAATCTCAGTTTTGCTGCCACCAGGCGCTAGGCAGCCTCAGTAGCAATGACTATAGTGTAATAAGGTCAGCCGGACATCAGAGAGTTCTGCATGTGCATTTAAATAAAATGTAACTCTAACTCTATAATTATGAAGAAAGTAATACAAAATTTGAATAACAAAACAGACTTTTATAAGGAGAATTTTACAAATGGTATAAGATTAATAAAATTCTGTCATACTTCTCAGAATCTGAGATGCCATCAATTTTTTCTAAAGACTCTTCTGCTTTAGACATGTTTAAAAGTGAAAAGAATTCCATCTCAGAGTGAACGAAATGCAGGAGAAAAAGACCTAGGACAGTGTCTGGCACATAGATCTTGAACATGTTACTTCTTTCAGAATATAGCTGTTTCCTCAGATCAGTTTAATTTAATTTTTCTTTTTATTTCACCTTAGAATAAGAATGTTAGCAGGACTTTAAATATCACCAGTTTGGCCTTCATTTTATAGTTGAAGAAACTAATGCTCAGTCAAGGTAGGCAACTACGCCAAGGCCACGTAATGAGTTAGTGATGGTAGGTAGGTCTTTGCTCTCAAAGACCAACAGCATGGACATTACCTGGGAGCTTGTGAGAAATGCAGAATCTCAGGCCCCACCCTAGAGCTACTGAATCCAAATGTGCATCTTAACAAGATCCCAAAGTGATTTGTGCACATTCAATTTTCGAAGCACTGCGTCAGTGCTCTCCAAAGATCCTTCACTTCACATAGACATCTCTCTCTCTCTCTCTCTCTCTCTCTCTCTCTCTCTCTCTCTCTCTCTCTCTCTCTCTCTCTCTCTCTCTCTTTTTTACTGGCTTCATCACAGTTTCCACTGTCCGTCATCACCTCCTGCCTTCAGTGCCTTCTGTACCCAGCTTAGGTATACCCTTTTCCATCAATATCCCTCCCTCACAAAAGCTGCCAGGGCGCTTGCCACTCCTTTCTTACCTGGACCCTCTTAAGGGCCATTGGTCCCCAGCCTCTTCCATCCCTGTGCCCCAGCAGCTGATGCTTACAGGACAGGTGTGCCAGAGTACAACACCCTCATCTTCTTGCCACCATATCTTCAATGCTGCTTGCATAGCTTCTCTCCACTTCTTTCATCCTTGTGTTACAAAGGAGTGCAGAGGTGAGGCCACAGTTAAAAGCCTCACCTGAGCAGCAGGGCCCACACCCACCCCTTTCAGCTTCGGAGAAGTAATGCATGCTCTTTCTCTCTGGTGCCCAAATTTACACGTCTAACCTAAATTTCTCCCCTGAGCTCCACACTCCTCATATCTTCAACTGGCTACTTGACAACTCCATTGTGTTGCCTAATAGTGATTTCAAACCTGCTGTCTCCCAAACAGATCATTTCAAACCTCCCCCATCTCTCTACCTACCCCTGGCCCAACCAGAGTCTAAGCCACTATGTGCTTAGATGGTCTCCCTGCTTCTGGTCTTGCCTCCACATCCCCTGCCCTGCCCCACCCCGCAGCAACCAGAGTGGTAAATCAGGTCATATCACTTTCTGGTTTAAAAACCATTGGTGGCTTCTCATCCCATTTAGAATAAAATCCACAAGCCCCTATAGGAGCTGGCCACCTGCCTGCCTCCTAAGCTTCTCACACCCTTGTCCTCGTTTCTCTACTGTGGCATCATCGTTTCTGTTTGTTGAACAAACCTGGCTCTTTCTTACCTGGAGGCCTTAGTACTTGTGTTTTTTCTTACCAGGAATAGTAGCCCCCCGGACCTATGCATAGCTGATTCTTTTTCCTTTAGGAAAACAGTTTCAGTTCAAACATCTTAGCACCTTGAGAGTCATTCCCTGACCACCTTTCCTAAGGTGAGGCTATTGTACCTAGTTATTCTCAGTCACTGTTCTGTGTCTTAAGAGTACTTTTCACATGGTGAAATTACCTGGTATATATTTTTTTGCTTATTGTTTATCTCCCCCTCTAGAATGTGAGCTCCATGAAGGCAGTGGCCAGGTCTGCTTGTTCATTGCTTTACCGTCATTGCCTAGCACAGTGCCTGGCTTTCAGCAAATGTTGACTGAATAAATGAATGAGTTGGGTAGGGAGCCCGGGTCTTTGATGTTCTTAGAGGTCAGCCTCCTCAGCGTACTGGTGCTGGTGGAGCTCAGGCTCTGGAACTGAGCAAAGGTGGATTTAAATTTTGGATAACCGGCTAGCTGTGTGACCTTGGAGAAGTTTCTTGACTTCTCTGTGCCTTGGTTTGTTCTTCTGTGGAAGGGCAGCAATAGTTTCTGTCTCACAAGTTGCTCTGAGGATTCAACAGGACGATGCATTCATTGAGAGAACATAGAAAGCCCTAGCATAGTGCCCAGTATGGAGTAAGTACAGTATGTTTTTGCTATTTTTATCATCATCAGTCTTTTCTTGCCTGAAAACAAGTTCTTTTGATTAACTGCCCTCATTGTATTAAGGTCTAGTCAGGAAAACCAACATTAGATTGTTTCTTGACACTAATACTTTATTTGCCAAACACACTCTCTAAAATCTACCTTTCTTAAATATTATGCTTGTTGAGTTCTCTCTTCAGCTCTGTGTCCCTGTGTTTTTGGCTCAGGGTGCCTAATTTTCGTTAAACATAAGTGTTCCTGACATATCAGGACATATTTTGAGTGCCAGCTATGTGGTAGGCAATGAGGTACAACATAGCTGTGTTCTTGCTCTCAAAGACCTTATACTCTAGTTGAAGGGATCAACTAGCAAGTTAAGAGTTACAATTGTGAGATAACACTCTTAAAGAATTAGCCATTAAGTCTACCAGGATTCTTGAGCACCTCCTGGGTGCCAGGCACTGCGCTAGGCCCTGCCTTTTCCATTTCAAAGACAGCCCAGAAGGGGCGGTGGCCACCTGGGGGAGGGGCAGCCATGCGTTTACACCTGTTCTGTCTCTAGGTCTCTGTGACTTTGGAAGGTGCTCCTCATCACACCTCCTGGTTTCCTGCCCTGTAAAGCAAGGATGTTAGACTAACAGTAATGAGGCTGATTTACATGTGAGGTTCTTGGAATTGATGGTTCTTCTATAGTTTATGGCTTGTAATTTGTTTTTACTTGAATACAACCTGAACTCCTTGTCTTTCTCTTTATTTTTTATTTTGAAAAAATGTCAGACTTAACAGAAAAGTTACAAAATAACACAAAGATTTTCTCTATACCCTTCATCCAGATTTCCCAAATACTAACATTTTATCGCATTTGCTTTATCATTTTTTCTATGTATAAATATTTCTCCTAAAGTTACAGACATGCTGTTTATTGACCTCTAAATACTTCAGTGTGCCTTTCCCCCAAATAAGAGCATTCTCCTACATAAGCACTGTACAGTGGTCAAGATGATGAATTAACATCGATGCAATGCTGTGATCTGCAAACCCTATTCGTCAATTGTCTTAATGTTCTTTACAGCAAAATAAACCCCCCCCCCCAGGATCCTATCTAGGATCACATCTGGCATTTAGTTGTCATGTCTCTTCAGTCTCTTTTAATCTGTAGCAAGATAAAATTCCTTGGTTTTGTTTGTTTGTTTAACTTTTATGATCTTAACATTTTAAAAGAGTAGAATGAATGTCCCTGCACTGGGCTTTTCTGATTCTTCATGACTAGATTGAGGTTTTGCATTTTTGTCAGGAATACCACCCAAGTGATGATGTGTCCTTCTCAGTACATTGTATTAGGGGGTGTGTGATGTCTGTTTATCCCCTTACTGGTGATGTCAACTTTGATCATTTGGTTAGTGTGGCCTCTGCGAGGTTCCACTGTAAGTTTACTATTATTCTTCCTGTGTAATTAATAAGTATTTTCCAGGGAGATATTAGTACTTTGAAACTTTTTAAGTATCCTGCTTCTCCTTACACTTTTGCCCACGAGTTTTTAACATCTGATTTTTGCCTGGAACAACCATTTCTTGTTCTTTCATTGCCCTAGATTGTGTTCACTTAGACCTTGAGGCTGTCTCCAGGAACCCTCAGGACTGGAAGAACTCATCATTCTTCAGATTGGAATTTTATCGGTAATTACATTTTTAAGTCTCATTTTCCAGGAAATGGGGGTAGGGGAAGGAGAGTAGTATAATAACCTTATGACAATTTATACCTTTTAATATATTTTATTCAGGCTCTTAAAAGTTGAAATCTCCTTTCAACTCAAAGGCATTGACCTACAAACGATTCATTACCGTGAGTTACCAGACTGTTACGTCTTTCAGAATACGGCAAGTGTTTTTATTTTACTAAGCTGCTTTCTCTCGTTTTTCCCTACACCTTTTGTAGATGCAGAATATAAAACACACCAGCCTGTAGATGAATTAGATGCAGTTGTGTTTCAAACAGATCTAACGATATGTTATGGTATTGTTGATCCAGAGACCATCACTTCTGAAGATGAAGCAAACCCTTTTCAACTTTGAAAAACTAGATTTCTGGGTTAAAAGAAGAATTTTAAAAATTGGCTTTGACCTCCTACTCTCCTCATATGTTAAAAAAAAAAGTTCATGACAAGTATTTTAAGTATCGATAGTGTTATTATCAGCTTCAAAGGAAGGTCTTTGTAAATATCATAGCAAATGTTTTCAAACCTTGAGGCAGAAACTGCTCCCTTGATCTGAAGGCCAGTCTGCAAAGGTGCAGTTGTTTTTCCTTTTATGTTGGGAGGAAGCATGTGTAGTAGAAGAGACTGTTCACTTTTGTGGGGAGAGTAAGCTGCCTTCTTACGTTCATGGACGTTCTCTCTCCTTCCATCTGTCTTTTCTGTTCTTCTTTCTGTCCTTTTTGTGCTTCTTTTCTTCCTTCTGTCCCTTCCTTTCCTGTTTAAAGGGCTAAACTGGGATGCTTAGCTGAAAGTTGTATTTGTATACACTGTCTTTTAGCAATTCAAAAGAGTGCTTTACTTAACAACAATCAATAAATGCTTAATGAGTCCCTCCTGTGCACCAAGCATTTTGCTATGCCCTAGAGGTGCAGTGGCTCTCAGGAAGCTTACAGCCTAGTGCAGGAAACAGACAGGAAAACAACTAAATGAGAAAAAAGTAACTACAGGTTGTGATACATGGTAAGGAAGAATGCCTTCAGCTGAGAACAGTATGGTTAATCTCCCTAGAGTGAGTGAGCCAGAGGAGCACTGAGAGCATCTGGAGGGATGTGGAGAGAGTCAGGAGAAGAGCTGGAGGAGTAGGATCTGCAAGGATGAGGTCATTGATGACTTTGTCATGATATGATCAGCAGCATGGGTCAAAAAATATTGGCTCTTCATTTTTGTTTTGTTCTTTGGACTTATTAATATATCTGCTTAAGGTTCCCAAGGCTTGAGAAAGGCTCTCCTGGGGAAAACAGAGACCTAGAGTGCCAGTGTTAGTGGAGGTTTAGTCAAAGCTTATAGATATAGAAATGAGGGTGATGTGGTTTAATTCTTGAACCTATGGTTTGGTTGTAGTGATGTTCTTAGATTACACAGAACTTGGCTTATGTTCAGCGACACGCAGAGGCATATGGGTTTGATCACCTACACATTCAGCTCTCCAGGCTTTTTGCCTGTGAACTTTTTGGATTTCTTAATGTGTTGACCCTAAGGAATACTTGGCATATATCACTTAAGAACTTTAAACGATTGATTTAAACCCCATAATGTGGAAGATTGAGGGCATTTAGACATCTTAAGTTCAGCTTGCAGCCTTGGAGCAATCTTTGTTGTTTCTGAAATCACTATGTAGCTCTTGAAGCAAACATAAAAATAATTTTCAGCCTAGTAAAAACCCAGAATTTCCTACCTAAAGGACTAAATTGAAAGAAATGCTTTTAAATTCCATTCAGCATAATAAATAAGATCATTGTGTACTCTTGTCAAAGACTGGTGAATTCTGGGTTTTGTTCCCAGAAGTGGTTGGCTGTTTTGCTCTAGGATTTCTCTGAACCAGAGATCTGAAATCCTGGATTTGTTGAGATTCATGTATTCCCCCCCACCCCTTAGATTATATTTTTTCATTAATTTAACAAAAAGTTTAAAGAAATCCTGTGATGAGGACATTTTCATCAGTATAATTTTCCTTGTTGCCCTAATTTATATCTTTATCTATTGTGTGTTCCTTAGCCACTAATTGTAGCTGTTGTCATTTTTGACAATTTTGATTTTAGAGCTTCATAGTAGAGGATTGAAAGATTTATATAGTGCCATTCATCCCATTCTCTCCTGGCCTGCAAGATTTCTGCTGAGAAATCTGATGACAGTCTGATGGAGAGTCCGTTATATGTGACTTGATGCTTTTCTATTGCAGCTTTTAAAATTATGTTTTTGATTTTTGACAATTTGATTATAACATACCTCAGAGAAGATATTTTTGGGATGAATCTAACTGGGGATCTTTGTGCTTCCTGGATCTGGATGCCCATATCTCTCCTAAGACTTGGGAAGTTTTCAGTTATTATTTTGTTAAATAGGGTTTCTGTGCCTTTCTCCATCTCTTGTCCCTCTGGAACTCCTATAATGCAAAAATTTTTTCACTTAATGGTGTCCCATAAGTCTCCCAGGCCTTTTGCATTCTTTTTTATTCTTATTTTCTGTCTTTCTTCTGACTGGGTTATTTCAAAAGACCTGTCTTCAAGTTCAGAAATTCTTTCTTCTGCTTGATCTAGTCTATTATTAAAGCTTTTATTTGTATTTTTTATTTTATTCATTGAATTTTTTAACTCTAAGATTTATGTTTGGTTCTTTTTTATGCTGTTTATCTCTTTGTTGAATTTCTCATTCAGATCATAAATTGTTCTCCTGATTTCACTGAATTGTTTGTATTCTCTTGTATCTTGCTGAGTTTTCTTAAGATCGTTATTTTGAATTTTTTTTCAGCTATTTTGTAAATATCCTTTTCTTTGGGGTCTGTTACTTGAGAATTACTGTGTTCCTGTTGGGGGTATCATATTTACTTGTTTTTTCATGTTTCTTCTGTCCTTTCATTGATATCTATGCATCTGGTGAAACAGTTGCTTTTTCCAATTTTATGGAGTAGCTTTCATAGGAAGGGACTTTTTTCTATAGAGGGGTCCTAGGGTGTCAGTTGGGTGTAGTACATTGGCTTTGGTTCTGGGTGGTCTCTATCCAGTTTCTTCAGTTGTAATCCTTATCAGGAATGTCCATGGTTGCCTTCATGGCCTAAGCTGTGGGAGCTTTTTGTGACAATGGTGGCATGGTTTTGCTGGAGGTGGTTGTGGTAGGCTCTTCGAGGGATGGGGGTTACCACCTGACTGACTGTCTGGCTGAGTGTGCATGGAGCCTGAGGGGGACTTTCCTTTAGCAAAGACTACTGCCTTCTGTGGTGGTAAAGGGGACCACTGGGAATCTCCAGCTTAACTGTTTCCTGTAATAATAAGTTCCTGCCTGCTTCTGAGCTGATCCCAGTGAGGGAGACAGTGTGGCAGAGGCAGGGTGCCTTGCTCCCCTCTCTATGGTGCTCTCTTGGGCTTCTGTGCTCTACCAGGATTTCCCCACTCCCCTGATGGTCTCCAGCATACTTCCCCAGTCATTCCAGTCAAAAATAGTTATTTGTTCATTGTTTTGGCCCCTTTTAGGGGTTGGGGGGTGAATATCAGGCAACTCTAGTTGGCCATTTTGCTGACCAGTATAATTTTCTTTGGATCAGCACACGATTTGGATGCCATTGATTTTTTTTTTAAAACCAAGTTGATCAAACAAGTTATGCTTTCTGCTGGGCTGTAACCTCTCTATACATTTGTGTCTCCAGATTACCTTTGACAATAAAGCTCACAGTGGCAAAATCAAAATCTATTTTGACAGTGATGCCAACATCGAAGAATGTAAAGACTTAAACATATTTGGATCTAGTAAGTATGCTATATATTTGCCCATGATGTACTTTAACACTTTATTTTGGGATTTGGGGTGTTTAAATGATTTATTTGGATGCTAATAGGAAGACAATTTCCAGAAAACCACATTTTGAGCATTAATACATTAACTGCCATGAGAGTTGTATTTAACTCACTCTAGTTTTGACCCTGGGGCCAGGTAAAGCATATATAAAATCTTGTTGATGTCCTTATTATTACAATTAATATTGAAAATTTAATTCTAAAAACGTGGATTAAATAAATAAAAGTCAGTAAATTTCGTTTTTCTATTTATGCTTACCTTTAAATTACACTGAAAGGTTTTATTCTGTTTTAGTAATAAAACACTGTGGCCCCAAGGAAAAGTTTCTGGGTTTTTTTGTGTGGCAATCGGTGTGTTAAACTCTGTAAAGCATATCCCAAAGCTTTGTGTTTTTGTTTAATTCACTCCTTCAGGAAAGGTAGCGTGCATCAGTGGTTAGGAGCTCGGGCTCTGGAGCCGGACCACCTGGGTTGGGGTTCTAGTGCTGCTTACTATGCCTGTGATATTGGACAAATGACTTCACCTGTCTGTCTCAGTATCTTTCTCTGTGGAATTAGAGAAATAATAATAGTGCAGGGTAAGCATCCCAAATGTGAAAATCTGAAATCTGGATTGCTTCAAAATTTGAAACTTTCTGAGCACCACCATGATGCTCAAAGGAAATGGTCATTGGAGTGTTTTGGGTTTCAGATTTTTGGATTTGGGATGTTCAGCCAGCAAGTATACTGCAAGTACTCCAAAATCCAAAAAAAATCTGAAATCTGAAACACTTCTGGCCTGAGCATTTCAGGTAAGGGATACTCAACCTGCACGTATCCTTCCAGGATGCTGAGTATTAAATGAGTTAGTATGTAAAGCCAAGCACTGAGAACAAAAGTTGGCACATATTAATTATGAGGCCTTAGTGAGGGAGACTGACATGCTTATAAAATCTCTAATGTGTTGCAGATAAAAGTAGGTAATGCACAGACAAAAAGTATGGGTAAGAAAGCAAAAGTTAAATTTGACTTGGGCAGAGTGAGAAATAAAATCTAGAAATGACTCTTGGAGAAGGTATGCTTTGATCTGAGCCTCGGACAATGGAAAAGAATCAAGGCCTTGAGAGCCAGAGAGCAACCTGTACAAATGCTGGGTCATTTACTCAGTCATTACTTGGAAAATGCCTCTTAATCCACATGTTTAAAATGGGCTACCTACCTAACCTGATCTGTTTGCTCAGCAAGGAGTCGGGATGATGTTAATGACCGATGGTCAGTATTTTTTAATCTGCAAGTTTTGTTCAAGTGATTTTCCCTTTGACTTGATTATTGGAACAAAATAAAATGTAAAATACCTGTGGTTCCTATTTTAGATTTGTTTTAAAGTATCATTGATTTGTGGCCTGCTGCTTTTCAGTTGTATCATATGTCTTGATGATTTCAGTTTTGATTTCAGTAGTTGCACTGACTTAAGCCTCTGATCTGAATATACTGTTTTGATTTTTGTTAAAAAATAGTTACTATTCCCCAGCAGACATCACTTTCCTCACAGATACACGGAGATTAGGTGCCTGTGTTCCAAGTTCAAGTATAACGTACAATTTTCTGTGAAAAGCAGCTAACCTTTGTTGCATATGTGATTTGGAATGGTCGTTATAAAGATCAAAATGACAGAATGAGTTAGTCAAATGTGTTACCAGAACAGTGTTTCCTTCCTCCCCACAAGGCTACTTAGGATATTAGGGGTTTTTTCCTGGCCTGTGCTCAGAAGAGAGGCTCTCTGGGCCCCTCCTGTGGCCAATGAAGAGAAATACAAACCTCATAGACCGCTGGGTAAAAACACTAACATTTACACATGCTTCTCCTGGAGCTGTGCATTAAGAAACCAGCTATCACTAGGAGAACACGAATTTAACATAAAATGATGTGATGTGAAAGCCTTGAAATGCTTATGTTTGGAAACCAGCCTAGGAAATGGATTTCCTCCCCATATGAAGCTCTCTGGTGGATCAAGATTGTCCTGGCTTTGGGGGAAGTGGGACGAAGGCAAGGGCGACCTCTGGTGGGATTCTTCCCCTATTTCCAAAAAGTTCTCAGGCTCGTTCACATCCATGCACTTACCCCCAGGCTCTCCCTCCCTCTTGTTATCTCAATATTGTCGTATTATCTCAAGGTGGCTATGAAGGCGCATGTCCATTTTCACCTATAAACCTCATGTTGCCTTTTGTGACCTCTGATTCCCAACTGCAAATGTGCCACTGATCTTCATGTAACTTGATTTTATAAATACAGCCATTTGCAGATGAGGGGCTTTGGGAGGAATTAGTGGGCAGGATTCCCCATTGATGGGCGATATAAATGGTATTATGGGGAAGGGGGTTCAGTGATTTCAGGAAGCCCTGGTTAGAGTCCCGAGGGCAGGCTAGTGGTGGTATGTGTAGGACCTTTCGGGCCTTTGGAAGGGCTGAGTGGTCTGTGGGACTTCCCTAACCAGGTTGGCAGGGGCATCTTTCTGGACTAGTGTTTTATAAGCTCAGGTTTGGGAAATGTTCCTGTGGGATGACATTGTTTCAATGGTGTGAGAAAGCAGTTAGGATGTTCATAAAAATATATATTTATATTAGCTCACCAAGCTAGTCTTCTCAATAATTCAAACAGAATGCTATACTGGATTCTGTTGGGAGGGATAGTTTACTTTTCTAGGTCTGTTTGTTTTCTCATCTGTAAATAAGGCCCATTGCAAGTGATCTTAGAGATTTTTGTTCTAGTTATATGAGAGAAAGGAAGGTACCAGATGCTGTCCTTGCATTTTGTAAGATTTTCAGTCTCATCTTCCCAAGAACTGCCTCTATTTCTTCTGCCCCATTCTATGGGACCAAGAAAAAAAAAATAAAGGTCCTCTGATAGAGCTAAGTTGTTTTCTTACCTACACATTGGATGATATCCCAAGATAGCTTAAATTTCTTGAGTACGAAAAGGCTAAAGGTAAACGTAAGCGCTAGGTGATGGGCGCTGTTCTAACAAGCACTTTACATAGATTGTGCCACCTGATTCTCATGACAGCCCTGTGAAGCAGGTGCCCTTGCCCTCCCTATTTCGTAGGGGCATCTGAAGCTTAGTAAGGTAAGTCATTTGCTCAGGGGCTTACATTTACTAGCTGGCTGTCTCTGCTTGTCACCCACTGGATGAGCTGCTTTGCCCTCAGACACTCGTGCCAGTATCACCCACACCTGTGCGTTATTAAATCCGAGGACACGCTGGTGTTTCCCTTCAGTGCCCTCTCTGCGGAGGTGTCACTGTGGAGTGCCCCGGCTGTAGTCTCTCCCCTGATGGTTGTCTGTCCCCAGTCCTGTTTCCTTCTCCCCTGGCCTTCTCCATCTCGTTACTGAGCTCATCTCTTTTCTAATTCTCAAACATTGTCCCCCGCCCCCTCCCAACCCACCATCTTGCCTACTCTGCCTGTCTCTCTGTGGGCTCTCTGAGTAGCTGTCCTCTCCTGTGGCCTCAGCTGCCACTGAATCTCCCTCTCTTTTCGTGAATGTCCAGGCTGAACTGAGTTTACCCAAGACAGAAAACCAGGAATCATTCTTGGTTGTCCTTCCTTATTCCCCAGGTCCGACTGGAGACCAGATGACTCTCCTTCGTCTCTTGCAGCCCTGTGCCTTCTCCTTTCCCTCCTCCCCCGCTCAGCTTAGATCTTCATAAGTTCTAACTTAGACTATTCAGTGGTCTCGTGTTCTCAGTTCTTTTCATTTATTTGTGAGTATACTGAAGCATTATGCTAAGCACAGGTGCTGTATTTTGTTCAACGCTACTGTCTTTGTCCTGTCCTTTTTCTGTTGCTTATAACAGAACACCTGAAACCAGCTAATTTATTTTAAAAAATGTATTTCTTACATTTCTGGAGACCGCAAGAAGCCCAGAGTTGAGGAACCACATCTGGTGAGGGCCTCCTTCCTGGTGGGGACTTTCTTCAGAGTCCCGAGGCAGCACAGGACATCACATGGTGAGGGCGCTGAGTGTGCTAGCTCAGCTCTCTCTTCCTCTTCTTCTAAAGCCACCAGCGCCATTCCCATGGTAACCCATTAATCCGTGAATGGATTGATCCCTCTGCGAGGGCAGAGACCTTATAACCCAATCACCTCTTGAAGGCTCCCCCTCTCAATACTGCCACATTGCAGATTAAATTACAGCATGAGTTTTGAGGAGACAAATATTCAAACTAGAGCAACTACTCATGGTTACTGCCTCACAGAGCCAATCTTTTGGTGGGGAAGATGGACATTGAGTGATAAAATTGTAACCACTAAGTGTTCATTCTTATTATCTCCTTAGGGCTGTTCCAAGGGCTTTTCATATATGAACTTGTATAATCCTCACAACAGCCTCATGATGTGGGTGTTTTTTATTCTACCCATTTTTCAGGTGAGGAAACTGAGACACAGGGGTTCAGCAACTTCCCCAAGGCTCTACAGCTTCTGAGGGCAGAGCTGAGATTCAGAGCCAGGTCATCGGGTTCCTTCCCCACTTTACACTATGTCTGCTCCATGCTGTGGTCTTTAAAGATGTAATTATAAATTCAGTGACTGTCGTGCAAAGGGCAGTAAATGGAGCTGCAGATGTGTATAGTCACAGAGAGTGCTGTGAAAGGATGTAAGAGGGGGCTGAGAGATGAGAATTTAGGGAATTCTGTTCTGAGGTAGGGGATTTTTAATCTGAAAGCTGAGGCTGCATCCTAATTATCTGAGCATGTGTGGAGGTTGGGGAGATGTGCCATTCCAGGCAGAGGGACCAGCATGCGCAAAGCCCTGTGGGGAGAGCACGGTAGAGAAGGTGGGGGCCAGGCAGGAGAGAGCCAGAGTGGAATTTGGGATGCTATTGTGAAGTCTGAGAGAAGCTAAGGTTACAGTTTCATCTCTCTCCAGTACATTCTCCCTGCTACTGTGTATTCCAAACCAAAAATCTGATTACGAGGCTCCTCCTTGCTTCCATTCCAAGAAGTTATTTCTCTCCGTGCAAAGAAACCTTCTCGAGTTGGCACTCTGCTGGGAAGGTGCACACTGAGGTTGAGAAGCGGAAATGGGGCTTCTGAGTGATGGTGTTTTAGTTTGTCTATTCCCTCATTGATAGTGAACTTGGTGTCTGTGCTTTTAGGTGAAAGAACTCAGAGTTATGTCAGCAGTTTTGCCTTCTTTGAATGGAGCCCAAATGGGTCACCTTCTGTTGAATTCTATCTATAATAGAATTCAGTAAATATTTATAAATAAATTTAAATGCACTGATTAGCAGCTCATGTTTTTAAATGTATAAATCTTCACATCAGGGAATGTTTTACTTTTTGGACCTCTGAATGTAGTGTGATTTGTTTCTGAAGTTTACCATTTTAACAGCAGATAAAAACGTTTTGTTTTAACAATAGATAAAACATCATTTGAACTTCTTTTCACACTGCCATTTTCTTTGGAAATCTTTCTCAGGTAAGGTGTGTTTAACATTTGAATTCTGTTTTTGTTCCTCAGCTCAGAAAAATACAGAGTATGTCCTGGCGTTTGATGCATTTGTCATTGTGATTTGCTTGGCATCTCTTATCCTGTGCACCAGATCCATTGTTCTTGCTCTGAGATTACGAAAGGTAAGTGTGTGTCCCTGTTTTCTCCCTGCCCTCCGGGCCTGCTTGCTGTCTGACCAAGTAGTGGACCACTGATGTCGTACCATCTGCCCTTTCTGGAGCCCTTTGACTAAATCCGATTCCTTTGAGTGATTGCCTGCCCCCGTGAGGCATAATCAGCCTGGGGTGTAGGAAGTGGGTAAAGGCTCTGAGTATGTCAGGTGGGATCGGATCATTATCCTGTTGACAACTGAGATAGTAAGTACAGGTGCTCGGTGGTGAACTCTCAAGCTTTTGAATGTTTACAGAATAAACGAAGCCCTTTTAGTGCAGGAGTGATCTTAAGAACAAAGTAATAGCATGTGTGGGTTTCATCTTTTGTCTTCACATCAGAGTTCATTTTGATAGGGAAGCATGGTAAATGGGTTATAATGAAGCATAAAATACTTTATTCTATGTTTTAAGTAGTTTAAACACTCTCCTCTGAGTTTCATTTTACCTTTCAACCCTTAGGGCTCTTATGAGTATATAGTCCAGCTCCCCCTAAGTCTTACTCTGGTCTGTGGCGTGTGTAGAAATGCCCTATTGGAGTCAGCAGAGATAGGAAGTCAGCGGAATACTGTCAGTGGAGCAAGGAAATAGTCTACAAGCCATTTTACTTAACCTTGACCCTTGTCAGTTTACCTTGTAAACCTCCCCCTCTCCTCTCTGCTCTCCAGTCCCCTTGATCCAAGGTTAATGTTCTGTCTCTGCCAAAGTGAGAGGGCAACAGGAGCACACACTGTGGAACCGGCCTGTCTGGACGCAGGTCCTGATTTAGCCTCTCTGGGCCTCACTGCCCTCACCTGGGTGGTGGGGCTGATGGTGCCTGGTTCATCGGGTTGTCATCGGAATGAACGCATTGATGATATGGAAAATATTTGGAATGTGCTGTATGTTGGCTATAATGACGGGAGCCCATTGGCGTTAGAGCATACGTATTTGACGTTTGAGTTCATTTAGCAGGCAATGGAATGCTTACTTCTCACTGGGGTAGATTATGGGGAAAGTGTGAGCCATAATCTCCACCCCTGAAGTGGCTCTGTCAGGTTGGAAAGGCAATGCCCTGTCATTTCACAGATGAGGGCGCTGTTTCGCACTTGTCTTCTCCTTCCAGAGGGTAGTGTGGTTTGTAAGAAATGCTTTTTAAAATGTTTGCCATAGAGATTTCTAAATTTCTTCCTGGAGAAGTACAAACGGCGGGTGTGCGATGCTGACCGGTGGGAGTTCATCAACGGCTGGTACGTCCTGGTGATTATCAGCGACCTAATGACAATCATTGGATCCATATTAAAAATGGAAATCAAAGCAAAGGTAATATCTTAGTATCTTTTGTTCTTTATATTCTTCTACATGACCTTGGGCATTTTAAAGTATAAAATCTTATGGAGACTAGCTTGATTCCCGAGTTTTCTCTTTTCTCACACCCGTACAAGTGAGGCCTCCTCTGGCTCCATGACTCGTGAAGGGAAAATAAGGAAGCTGATGTACTTTGGGAGGTGATATTCCTGTGAATGCCTCCAAGAAACTCGGCAACACCTTCAGAATAGTGATTAAAGTTTGAGAAGGTTGGTTATTTGGGCTTCATTTTTTTTTCTTGTTAAGTTGCACAAGGAGCAGCTTACTCATAAACCAGTTGCTTCCCCTGAACACGCACGTCATGAGCCTGTGGTGAGGACCTGTGACTGTCGGGAGCTGGACAGATGGGGGTGAGGGCAGGAACACTGGAGTGCCTGCTAATGCCCACGCGTAGCATAGATGAGCTGATTAATCTCATAACTCGGCCTTGACTCCTCCTTCCCCCAGCTCTTCTCCTCTCCACGCTGTGCCCGTATCAGCAGGTCTCACCGACCTTACCTCCTAACCACAGTGGCTCCCTCTTCTCCATCCAGATCATGCTGTCTCTCTTCAGGCCACCTTCTTCTCTGGCCTGGACGTTCCAGTGGCTTCCTCACTGGTTTTCCCACCTTCTGTCCTATTCCCTCAGATCCAACTACACCGCTGTCAGAATACTTTTTCTGGTAGTGTCTATCTTGCTGTTGCAACCCTTTCTGCCTCCTGGGGCCTGCTTGGGATGGAGTGGAGTGGGCTCTGCTCAGTATGGCCTCCAGGGTCCCGTCATCCAGCTCTGCCTCTGCTCCCACCCTGGTTCTGACACTGGCCCTGGAGGACATCTCGCTGGTTCTCAGCATCGCGCCTGTGCTCAGCCTTTGTCCACTTATCTGCGGTGCTTTCTCCCAGCCTGTCCTGCAGGCCCAGCTCCGCTCTGGCGTCACGCCTGTGGGGATCCCTCTGTGACAAGCTAGGCCTTGTGTGCGTCATTGCACTTAGCATATCATATTAGAATCGTGTTTGTGTGTTTGTCTCCTCAGCTAGACCTGGAATTTCTTGAGAGCAGGAATTGTGTTAGCAAATCATGGTGGAGCTTTCTTTCAAAAGTAGTCGAATTGTATTGTTTGATATTTAACACACACCATTAGTTTATATTCTTTAATGCCTAGGTCAGTGATAATGCAATTTCTATTTCTGGATATTATTTGCAGAAAAAAATCAGTTCAACCAATTGACATACTAAAAGGAAGTGAGAAACACATTTGGAACTGTGTTCTCTATTTTTCTTCATTTTTTTTCCTTTAAAAAACTCTTAATACCACCTATAGTGGGGCAGATAATTCATTCTTTTCCAGTCAATTTAAAGTGAGGTTAATAAGGTGAGTGGAGTGGAATATTTTACTCATTTGTCTTTTTTTTCCATTTCTTAGAATCTCACAAATTATGACCTGTGCAGCATTCTGCTTGGGACATCTACACTGTTTGTTTGGGTTGGAGTCATCAGATACCTGGGTTATTTCCAAGCATACAACGTAAGCATTGGGCAATGCTGCTACAGTTGGGGCTCATTTCTTCTTTGGGTTCTAGTGTCTACTTTTTCATTTCCCTTATTCTGCTGATTTTTTTTTCAGGTGCTCATTCTAACGATGCAAGCCTCACTGCCAAAAGTTCTTCGGTTTTGTGCTTGTGCTGGTATGATTTATCTGGGTTACACATTCTGTGGCTGGATTGTCTTAGGACCATATCACGACAAGGTGTGTAGCACTAATTCTTCCTTCTGCACATTAGGCATGTGGGACCCTTAAAATGGGGTTTAGACTTACCTTCCTCCTACTCTTCTCCAGCACATACCCTTGACACCAGTAAGCACATATCTTTGCATCCGTTTTCTTTTTCTTGTCCTTCTCAGGATATTGAAGGGACTACAGGATATTGAAACAAGAACTGCACGAGACTAAAAAGCAGATATTATAGTTGTCTGGGACTGGCTTAAGGGGTCACGTATTCACCCAGTGATCATCAAATGAGAAATATTTGGATATGAAATCACTGTAGTAAAAATGAAAATTAAGCGAGGAAAATTTTATAAAATCTTTCTAATTTAAAGCATTAGGGTTTTCATCCAAGGTAATTTAGAAGAATGCAGGTGGGCGAAGACTCTAGACTCTAACATGCCTAGAATTACCATGTTAAGTTTATGGTTTAAATGATTAATGCATCTTGTCTCTGCAGGTGGTTTTGATTATAGCATCATCGTGCCTTATTAAGATCAGTATCTGAGTTCTAAATTATTATGAACTTCAGTTACCATCGTAATCTCAGGGACATCCAAGTTATGCTAAGATGTTTTTGTTTTAAAATGATATATTTGATTGGTAGATACATCAGGAAATGAAACAAGGTAGGCCTTGCTTTTAACCCCCCAAAAATAAAAGGAGTTATTACATCTTACAGTTTTTCTTCCATGAGCCTGTGGCAGTTGGAATCATAGCTGCTAATATTGCTTGTGTGTCAGGCACTCGGCGGTGCATTTCCGTGTTCTCTCTCGGTTAATCACCCCGAAGAGGAGAAAGAGGACTTTCTCCTCTTTAAGTATCACACTTAATACGTCTAGAGAGAATTACTACTGTTTTTCTTATTTGAGATACTGTGTAATTAACTAAGAGAAAACCTCTGGGTTAATAGTAAATCTTGATAATCTTATTGCTCTTCAAATTCCATGTCACTCCTTTAAAAGTGACTCATGAGAAAGAGATTGTTCTTTGATATGATCTCTTTGATCTGGAGAACTTAACTGTCTTCGTGCCCAAGAAAATTTACATTTTTCTTTCTTACTTGCCTTATGCTCTGAAAGCTTTCCCACCTCTTTGTCACTAGAGGGCAGTGTTGTACCACATGGAATAAATACTGAGCCTGAGGATTTGGCTTTATTTCACTGGCCCCAAGACTTCAGGAGAGCGGTACTGTCTCCTTTGCACCCCCCACCCCCACCCCAATCTCCTCTACACATCAGTATTCCGGAAGGTGCTCAGATAATGTTGCTTTAATTTTACTAGACGCCTACCATTCTCAAGTGCTATTTCTTAGGCGTGGTGCCCAAGATCTTCACCTCCCTTGCTATATTAACCCTCTCTTTCCCTTCTCTATAGGGAAATAGTATTGCCTTTTTACAGAAAATGGGCAGCTTGATATAGGAAATAATTTTCCTGAGGTTACCCAGTTAGTAAATGCAGACATGGAATTCAAACCCAGGTCTGCCTGACCCCAGTACACATGCTTTAACTGATACCCTGGAGAGCTTTTCTTGGTATTGTCTAAAATACATCATTGCAAAAGAACATTGGGTCTGACCCAAGAAGCGGGGTTGTACTTATAGATCAACTGTGAGAGGAAAGCCACATAATCAGTCTCATTTTCTCGATGTGTCAAGGTTACCTCGTGGAAAATGAGGTTATTGGTTTTGTGAGCCTGACTGCATTTCCACGTGTTCAATTCTGTCCTTTCGCAGGATCCAGGTGACATTGGGATGCTCTGGACCAGCACCGTCCAATAAAAATACAATGCAGGCTACAAATGAGAGTCATGTGTATACTTTAAAATTTTCTAGTAGCCACATTACAAAATAAAAATAAGCAGATGAAATTAATTTTAATTATGTATTTTATTACCTAATATATATCTAAAATATTATTTCAGCATGGAATTAGTATAAAATAGTGAGGTGTTTTACATTCCTTTTATTGTAGTAGGACTTTGAAATCTGGTGTATATTTTATCCTCCTAGCATGTCTCAATTTGGACTGGCCACATACCAGGTGTTCAACAGTCACATGTGGCTAGTGGCTACCATTATGGATGTTGTACCTCTGACTTATGCTTCTCACTTAATGTCAGCCTTCTCTTTATCCTCCAGAAGAGTAGAGGGATAAGGGATGTCTCTAAGGTTGCCTAGCAAGTCTGTTTATAGCATCTGTAGCCAGGCTAATATATTGGGGAAACGCATCGTTGAGTTAATTCAGTGAGTGCATGAGTTAGTGGAGAGAGAGAACTTGAGTCTGGTTCTGGAATTTTCAGCTTTTCTTCTCTATATTGTTTCTTTTTTGAATCTGCAGTTAGAACATTTTACTGCCTTCTGCCCCATTTCCCACAGATTAATCCAAACTGTCAAAAACTTTCCGCTTCTGCCAGTGTCTGTTGGATCAGAGGACCTTCAGTGTTACCCGGAGCCTTGAAAAGATGAGCCTTACAGCAAGTGTTTCCTAGAATTTTTAGAATCACAGCAACCTTGAATGTGCAAGCCAATTCTTTCTTTAAAATAAACAAACAAATAGAAAAAAACTCTAAAGAGGAAAACTATAATTTGACACTGTTGTTTGATTGGTAGCTGGAGTCCTCCAGTGCTTTGGCTTCCTCTCTTCCTATTAGACACCTAATTTCAGTGGTTCAATTGAAGGGGGGTAAAGATGCAGAAAGTGTCCTGCTGGTGTTTGTTCCCAGCACTGATGGACCTTGGCACGGTGCCCTTTCAAAACGCCTGGGCACCGGGGGCTAGAGATGTTGATGTTCTTCCAAACCTCATCTTGCATTATTAAATGTTACTGTAATGTGGCTTTTACATTTCCAGAGGACTTTTTTTTTACTGTGAGGAATAAATTATAGTCCTACATTGTCCCCATTTTACAAATGAGAAGACAAAGGCATTGAAAAATTGTTGGACTTTGCCGACGCCATGGGTAATAGTTTGGCAGACCAAATGTTACATCTTCATGCTTCCAAGGCCTCTGGTTTTAGCCAAGCACCTCTCTTATTCAAAAGACCTGTTAGCCAATTATAACATTCTACCTAAAAGTTGTATGAGGTTCTTAGCACCAGCTTTTGAAGCAAATTGTTATGTCATTCTCTGACATTAGTCATTGCAGGTTATGTTTTCATTCACATGAAAGTTTTTTTGGATCAATCACAAAATTATCATTTGTGAAATGAGTGTGTGAGTTCTCACTGTGGTTCCAGAGAACCTACGGGGACACATTGTGGAAATACCCCTTTAATATTTATTAAATGTGGCGCGCCAAATATTGTCAGCTTCTTCTAGACCAAGTTCTTGGAGGGCAGGGATGATGGCTCTTACCTCTTTATGTTCCCAGTGTCCAGCATGGTGCATAGGACATGGTAGGTGCTCAGCAAGTCTGTTGAATGAACAAGAAACAGGGAGAGTTGCCAGTGCCTGCTTTCCAGGGCCTTATGATCTCTTCAGAACCGAAGCAATGCCTTATAAATGTGGTCCTTTTAGACTGGAAGCACATTAGGACCTCACCTTAGATGTTTTTAAGGTCACTTCTATTATGGAATTTGGTCACTGAAACTGACTTTGGTTAACAGCCACTTCTTGTGGTACAAAATGACAGGGTGTGTACCAATCACCTAATTTATTGGGTCACTATTTTAACTTTTTGGTGTGTTAAAATAATTCTCATGTGCACAGAGGAGGGGGAAGTAAAATGTTTATGAATAACATTAATGTTGAGGCAGATATTGTATCTACTGGGAAGTAAGGAATGAATTTGATATGTGCTAATCTAGCTATTCGCAGTTCTGAAACCTGAAGCACAGGCCGTTAGGGGTTCTTGAAACTAAAGAAAAGAATTGACTGGATTCCAAAAGAAACTACTGGAAATATGAATAGTGCTGTCAGAGTTGTAATTGACATCCATAGAAACCAGATTTAACTTCACTGTCTTAAGGCTAGTGAAGGGGATAGAAAATATTTACTTTGGGAACCGCCTATTTTATTGTTAAATAATCTGCATATTGTTAAGTGATTTTCTCAACTGGATGTTGCCTTCAGGTCTCTATGGGATTAGTTTAGTTCATCAGAGTTGTTGCTGATGCAGAACTCTGATGACCTTTGTGTGGGGTGCATTTGTATACCCTCTCCCTTGGCCACCAATTTTGCCTTGCCTGGTTCATCCTTGGGGAGCGTTAAGACGTGGTGTTTGCTGTCTAGCTGGGGTATAGAGAAGTGTGTCTGATAAACAAGGAGAAGACCATTTGTAGTTTATTCTGTGGTTCTTACAATACCGAGTACAGAGAAGGGACTAGAGCTGCTGGGGCAGTCTGTCTTGAAGTAGACTTTGAAATAGCTCTTGAACAGTGGCTTGACTGGACACAGAGAAGAGGAAGAAGAATATGCCAGGTGAGAATAAATCTCATGAGGAAAAAACATAGAAATGGGCCTGATGTTGTAGGAAGAGACGAGCACAGGGTGTTAACATTGACAGGGGGAGATGCAACGAGACCACCCGAAGGAAGAACTTATCCCAACCTTCTTGGTTCAGATTTTTATTTTGCATCCAGACTTTGTATAGTCTTGTGTGAGAGGAATGACCTAAAAGCCATCTTCTATGAAGTTTAGTTTTATTGCAGCTTGGACTGGAGGGCGAAGAGGTTGGAGTAAAAAAGACTTCCTTGGAGGTTTCTGTAATAATCCAGATATCAGTATTGACAAGTGTTGACACTGGAATAGAGTAGAAAGGGCGGATCAGAGAACCAAGTCATAGGAACAGACAGGCCTTAGGAGATTGAAGGGAGAGAAAGGTTAATCCATTCAACACATAGTTTTAAGTACTTGATTATTTTGGAGTAAATGTTTCTTTGGTAGGAGATTAGAATTACTGACAGAAATAGGGGAAATTTGGAAGGAAAGCCCATTTTCCTTAGTTTGTTGGCATTTTCAAGGAATGGTCTGTTATATAATAAACATACTCTAAGCGTGAATAACATAAGAAGATGCTTGTTAAGCAGGAAAAAATCAGAATCCAAAATTATTAGATGGATACAACTACAAATATATAAAATAGGGAAAAACTGAGAGAAATGTCAAGAGATGATCTTTGAGACTGTGGAGGGGGGTTTTGAATAATGTTTTCTTGCATTTTGTGGTTTTCTAGCTGTCTTAAAATGAATAAGTTACTCCTACCACAAATGACAACAACAACAACTTTAACAAAACAAGCTAACTAGGTACTATAGCTCAGAAACTAACTTTTGTTTTCCCCCTACAGTTTCAAAATCTGAACACAGTTGCTGAGTGTCTGTTTTCTCTGGTCAATGGTGATGACATGTTTGCAACCTTTGCTCAAATCCAGCAGAAGAGCGTCTTGGTGTGGCTGTTCAGTCGCCTGTATTTATATTCCTTTATCAGCCTTTTTATATACATGATTCTCAGCCTTTTTATTGCACTTATTACAGATTCTTATGACACCATTAAGGTAAGTAATTCTCAATATTTGCTGCCAAAAAATTACTGTAAATTCTGTATAGATTAGAACATAGGAAAATATCACATATTTTACTTAAAATATTATAATTCTATTTAGATTTTGAGATCGCGTAGACAAGAAACTTTCTAGATACTGGAGGTTAATTTTAAATATGCATTTGGGACACGTCCCTGTTCCTTGGATCAGGGTGGGTTGGTGTGGAGGTGTGGGGGGAAGAGAAGGGAAAGGGTGAGGATGGCTGGGTGTGGGGAATCGGGGAGTCCAGGCTGTGGACTCAGTCCTGACAGATGCACCTGCCTGTGTGCCTGCCTGGAGCTTAGGTTTTGAGTCACTTTCAGTAATAAGAGGTGGCTGCCACCCTGACAACTCTCTGAATATTGGTACAACTGACACTGGACGATAATGGCTACTTGTGTGGTGCAGCTTCCCTTTAAATTATGAAAACTAAAGGTCTTATGACTGTTTAGCTTCCTCCTTTTTTAAGTTACCTGGTGAGTTCTGTATCATTTCCGACTGGGCCCATTTAACTAATTTGTAGCTTCAAGGAAATTCACTTCCTTAGTCCTGGTACCTTCACAGCAGATGGTGGTGCTTGGAAAATGCTGTTTCAGGGTCAGCCTCTGAGCAACCGGGGTGCCATGTGGGTGCCTTGGGGTGCTGTCCTCTGCTTAACACCTTCTCAGAATAACTCAGAAGAAAGCCAGTCCTTTGGAAAAACTCCTGAGCACGTCTTTAGTGTGTGAGGAGGTTGGTGTTCAGGTGGGAATGGTAGTTGGCTCTAGCAGTAGGGATTGGCATGGAGAGAGAAGAGTTGCCTTTTAGCACACCCTTCGCTAGCTGTGCCCGGCTTTCTTTCTGGAGTTTTCCTTTGGATTGTTCTCTGTTCCCATGGTTGCCCTGGCTTGGCGTTCTGGACTGACAGATTGATTCATCATCTTTAATATCAGTTCTTGGATCTGGACTAGCAATGTGAGAGAGTTTTATTTTAGCAAAGGTGGAGTTGGTTTGTTGACAAAGAGAACAATTCTCGTGCTCTATAAATAAGGTAGCACCATTATGTACTTTTTAAAGAAATTCCAACAGAATGGATTTCCTGAAACGGATCTGCAGGAATTCCTGAAGGAGTGTAGCAGCAAGGAGCAGTATCAGAACGAGTCCTCAAGCTTCCTGTCCTGCATCTGCTGTCTGAGGAGGTCAGTGTTGTGGCCAGTCTCCGTGCTGCTGAGATGGCCTGCTCTGTTGCCTTGAGAAAGAACCACTCTGAGATTAGCACTACACGCAGAAATCAGCTTATTGTGAGAAATAATTCATCCTTCTTTTCTTTCCTCCCACTGAATTGGGTTTAAAAGTGAATTGTTTCTTATGAGACAGAGGTGGAAGAAAGCTACTTGACGCAATTGCAATCTCTTAGGACTATATGAGACTATTAAAAAAAAGACATGAATTATGTCCCTAAAGTCAAGAGACTGAATTCTTACTTGGCCAAAGTAAGAGGTCAGAGCTCTTGTTCTTAGAGGCGGAACTCTGGGACGGTCAGAAGTGTTTTCCTCTTTCACAGTATGTGGTATGGATAACCTTTCTTTTTTTTTTTTTTTTATTTCAGCATATTATGGGGTACAGATGTTTAGGTTACGTGTGTTGACCTTGGTTCCCCCCACCCAAGTCCGTGTTTCAAATATGTCCATCCTTCGGGTAGTGCGCATTGCACTCCTTGTGTATACAAATACCCGTCCCCTCCTCCCTCCTCCCCCCTCCTCCCGCTGCCCTCCCCCTTCCCCATCATCCAATAGATGTTGTTCTGATATGTGCATTTATGTGTTGATTAGTTAATACCAATTTGATGGAGAGTACAAATGGATCCCGTTCTTCTGCTCTTGTGGTGCCCCACTTTGGATAATGGGCTTAAGTTTAATCCAGGAAAGTGTAAGAGGTGCTAGATCACTGTCATTTCTTATGATTGAGTAATATTCCATTGTAAACATATACCAAATTTTGATAATCCACTCATGGATTGACGGGCACTTGGGTTGTTTCCACATTCTTGCAATAGTGAATTGTGCTGCCATAAACATTCTGCTTGAGAGGAGGCCGTCCGTGTGCGGTCAGACACGTGCGTCAGCAGCTCTGCTTTGGCCAGTGTGCCTGCCTTGCTGCTCCTCAGCGCACTTAGGAAAATGGTCTGGACCTCATGGACCAAGCATCTCACAAAGGGGTTTGGGGGTCAGATGAGGACAGTTTCTTAAATGTGCCCATATTTGTTTTCATCTGAAGTTGTTAGGGGCAGAGGTTTTTAACTGAAAGTATACCCTACCCATTTTTTTTTTCAAAGAAGAAAATGTGAGAACATAATTACTATTTAAAATCACAGGATGTATTTTTCTGTTAATCAATTCATACCTCATCTTGGGATTTGAAATTATATGATTAAGCATATCCACAGAATGTCTGGTAAATATGAAATGAGGTCTTCTGAGAAGAGCTGTTTTCAAAATCACATTTTATCCTCTCAGAGCATTAAATTGTTGCTGTGGAAGCTGGGATAGAGGGAAATTAATTTTCTTAATAGATGCAGCTCCCCTCCTTAGAGGCACCCTGTATAAAGAAAGTCTCTCAAAGTTGCTTTTCTATTATAGTTAACTGTAGGGGGGGCGGTGGGGAGATTCACTGGAGAATGTAGTGGTGAATTCTGAAAAGTAACCAAGAAGTCTTTGGTGTTTGGACTTGGCTTGCACCCCTCGAACAAGGTTGTTAAATGTTTTCTTGTGCTGCCACATGGAATGAATGAAAGATTTAAAGGGTGGACTAGAAGACTTTTTGATAAGATTGGGTCTGGGTGGTGAGAAGAAGGGAGCAACATCGGCAGACAGTTTGCCCTGAGGTGTGCTAAGGGCTGCTGAGGACAAATGCCTGGTGTGAAGGAGGGCCTGCCCGCCCATCCTGGGGAGTGAAAGAATGAAACAGAACAAGAGAGTCCACCAAGGAAATCAACTGAGGAACTAGGATGATGACAGTCTTAAAAAAACATAAAAAACAAATAAAGACAGAGGTGGCTGTAGCCATGTTTGTTTGACCAACACATGGTCACAGGTGAAGTCAGCTAGAGAAGTTTCAGCGGAACCATCCGCCCGGAGCCTAGACCCCAAGGAGTTTGGTGGGTGCCGCAGAGGGAATGGGGTCGCAGGGCCTGATGGAAGGAAATGGATTGCAGTGGGGCCTTGAAAACAAGTGATGACTTTGACTCCATCAAGAACTCAGTATACCTTGATGTGTTTAAAAGCTAGGAACAGAAGGATAGAATAAAATTGAGAAAGGCTGTGAATGGAGAGTAAATGTTGCAGAAGGACCTCACTGAGGCAATGTGAGGAACACCAATGTTCAGCACTGCAGAGATTGTTGTCTGTGTTCCCTATCTGGTGACCATGACAGACGACACCGACACCGTCTGCCCCAGCTCTGCCTCCTGCAGAGCATGGGTGTGGTCACTCTTTTTCAACAAAGCAGTCCAGCAAGCACCACACATGGATCCCCCTTTGGATTGTTGACAGAGCCGCTAGCCTGAGCAGCAGAACACCTGGGTTTTCATTTTGAACCCTGCCGTTAATCAAGTGTGTCCCATGACCTCTTCTAAACCTCTTGGATCCCCCAGTGTCATCAGGGCAGACCAGATGACCTCTGAAACCTCCTCCAGTTCTAAACCAATGCGGTTCTTTGGAGAGAGATGCTTGGTGGAAGAAACGCAGAATGAACCTTTGCTCTTCTTTACTGCAGTGAAGGAGAATTGGCTGTTCTAGCCATTATAAGGCTGTGTTAGCAGAAGGGCATGGAAGGTCTTAAGAGATGGACAGTTCCTCATAATTTGTTTCCAAAAGTGTCTACTCACACCTCAAATAGTAAATCACCCTTCCTAATTTCTCTTCCTCTTGTATGTTTCACTCAACATGTCTATAACCTATTGAATGTAGAGTATTCCTATTTCTCCTCAAAGATTTTAAAAATCATTGCTCTATTTTCTCTTTCCTCCTTCCCCTTTCTGTTACAGGAAAGGAAGCACTGATCACTTGATGCTTATTAACTAAAGACCTTCTGCTAAAGACAATTACGATTCAGGCCTCCTTATCCAGTGGCAATATAGAGGGATGCCAAACAGCTTGGACCGGCAGTTCCAAAAGGACTGTCTTATTTAATTGTGGTGTGGAAGAGAGGACCGACTGTCAGCTGGCTGACCACGACTGAAGTTCCAAATTTAACTTTTTATAAACTTAGATGAAGAAGAATAGACCATGGGCTACTACTGGGCATTAGTGCAATTGCGCAGTGATAATGAAATTTGCTATTAGGCTGTTAATTTATGACATGATAATGTTGGGGCAGAAAAAAATCCCATTTCAGAGTGTGCAAGACAATGGTGTTTAAAGCCATGTATTTAAAGATGTGTGTTTATTGTCAAATAAGGATTTATTTTTAAATGTGATTCTCGGGTCCAGAGACATTTGTTGATTCCTGGTCTGCACAGAAATGAAGTTGGTTGCAATACCAACTTGTAGACTCCAAGCTAGAGAAATTATTAAGCCATTTAAAGATCACATTTAAATGAACAAAAGACCTCATGCAGTGGACATCTTTTGGACTATTCCCCGTGAGTTTTCTTCAGCATGATATGAAGCAACTGTTGGCACAGTCAGTGGGATGCATAAGAAATAGTCATTTGGATGCCCCATTACTTGTACTAATTGTTGATTGCACACACATGACATGTGGCAGTGACCTGTAGCCTGGTCAGTCATTTTGACAACTGACCTCCACTGAGTTGGGGATTTACCTTTGTCAAGCAAGGAAATGTGGTATATTTTTCTCCAAATAAACTTATTTTTATCATATCATATGACGCTACTACTATTTTTTAAAATGCAGCGTCTCTTAACATCTCCCCAGTGAAAAATTCAGATCACATCTCTGTTAACTCCAAAAGGGATTTCCCACTTTCTTAAAAGCAGTGAAGAAGATATAGGGGCTAGTATGTAGGAATGACTCAATAAATATTTACGATAATGACTTCAGAGATGAGCATCACTTCATGCATAGACTTATTTCATACTTGAGCTATCTCAGGGGTCAATTATTTTAAAGTTATTGGTGAAGAGTAGAATGTGAATTAAGCGGACCCTCTTTCCAGAGCTCTCCCTCTCTTCCCCTGGCCTCAGCCATGCCCCTCGCCCGAAGCCACTACCCAGTTTTCTTTCCCGTGTCCCTCTCTCATCTCCTTGCCCTCACTGTATCTTCATGTGCCCACACTAATCTAGGCAGGGAAAATCATCCAGTTAATACCATTAAAGTTTGTGATAGAGTAAATGACCCGTGCCTACACACAGAATACTCTGCTAAAATTACCATTTTAAACTTCTTTTTTTTTACCAAAAATGTCAAGAGTTATGTTTGAATTTTTTAAACTAAGGACCATTAACTGGTGGCTCTGGGATAATTTACATGACTCTGGAATCAGGTATGTAATTAGACCACTTATTAACTTCTGAGTATATTCTTACATACTTCGTTTTATCTCTGATCAGAATTACTATTAAAGCCTCTCGCTTATTCTGCAGCTGTGACTGCCATTTGAATAGAAGATTAATGACGGTCTTCCATATTCATATTATTCTTTTATTGGCTTTCATGTTTCCTTTCATTTCTTTTCCTTCCAGCTGGCCAAAACACTTTCAGGAGGAAAAATCTTTTTCAAGGTTACCCCACATGTGTGGAAACATTGTTTTCTCTCTCTTTGGTAATTTTAAACAATTATCACTTTACCAACTGTGTTATCTGTTTGGATTTTGTTCAACAACGTTGTGTCATGACTCTGCTAATAGACACATCTAGGACCAACCATTTTCTCTCAGAATTTACCTCCTTGACTTGCAGTGACACAGTCAAAGCCATATGCCATAAAGCCTGTCCACTGGGGTGATAGGAAAGGGTGTGGGCAAGGGAGCCATCTAGACGGACCTGAGTTAAAAGCTGCAGCTTAACCCGTAGCTTTGAGGCCCTGAGAAGTCACTTTCTTCCTCTAAGTGATGATGAGAAACCCCAACAAACAGATTGGCATTTAAGTCACCCAGCTCATGCAAAGCCTGGCACTGAATTGATACCTGAGCCATCTTTTCCATTCGATTCTCCACCATGGGCATTAAGTGGGTTCCTTGGGGCCATGGAATAGTGCAGACATTAAGAGTATTACTTCTACAACCCATCTTCTCAGCTCTCCTCTTCTTCCTCCTATCTCAGTCTCCATGGGCAGGTCACACCATGCCTCAATTTCTTCATCTGTAAAATGGGATTGTGCGGATTAAATGAGTCAAACATAAAGTGCATAGAACAGGGCATGACTTCTAAGTGCTCAATGAATATCGGCTCTATAGAAAAATGCTTTTTCCACATGGTCTACAAATGTGCAAATGTATTCACCTGGGCCAGCCAGGGAGATCTTTATTTTGTAGAGCTCAACACACAACTTCTGGTGGACTTTGTTCTCGTTAGGAATTAAGTGTACAAAAGTCCCCCATGCAGCCCTGCCCTAAAGACAAGTATCAGCTCAACCCTAAGATGTTCGAACTTAGCCATGGAGAAGCAGCCTGAATGCCCTGACGCTAGGGCACAGCTGTCAGTCCCGATGGAAGGGAAAAGGTCCCACAGGTCCACAAGCTGTCAAAAAGCTCCAGTCCCTCACCCTGGGTGAGACCCTCAGTCTTCTTCTAGGAGCTGACTGCCTTAACCAAACTTGTCAGAATGTGCCAAGTACAGACCAGCCCACTCTTCAGCTCATCGCTGATCTAAGGTGGTGATTGCGGAAGGGTGGGAGAGGGAGAGGGTATTCAGGAAAAGCTCTTGGTGAGGTTCCAGTCACTGCCCCTCAACTCCTGACAGCCTATACTATAACGATGGCAAGAGGGGTGCACTGACTGGCTGGAACCCCAGGCTCAGAATCTCAGGTTTGTGAAAAGCACAGTAGCACAGCTTTTTGATCTAGGGGCAAGCAGCCAGTTACACTCTCGTGCCTGAGAACCTTCGTGTAAAAATAGCCCAGCACTGTCATTGCTGTTCAGGGGCCCTAAAGTCATTGGGAAAGTATGTTCAATAAACCCCTACCGTGGTCATGGCCACAGAGTGTTTCCTGACAATACAAAGAGCTGTGATGCCTACAGATGCCATTCCAGATATCTGAACAATTCACTTGTGACAGCCACATATTGCGGTAACACTGAACTAATAGACCTCATTTTACTGCTAATCAGTTCCATTTTTATGTTTATGTAACTTGGGCAAATTTTATTTTGCTTCACTTAAAGTTTGAATGTCTCAACTGTGTAGTTGTACTGTCCCCACTTGTCCACAGAGGATACATTTCAAGGTCCCAGTGGATGCCTGAAACCACGGTACTGAATCCTATCAGCTGGCTGCTGTCCCCAACCCCCAGGCTACAGAGCTCTGCACCCCCATCCATGGAAAAATTGTCTTGCATGAAACTTAGGAACTGGGGGTGCCACACAGTAGGAGGTGGGCGGCAGGCGAGTGAAGAAGCTTCATCTGTATTCACAGCTGCTCCCCATCGCTTGCATCACCGCCTGAGCTCTGCCCCCGTTCCCCCATCACGCATGGAAAAATTGTCTTACATGGAACCAGTCCCTGGTGCTACAAATATTGGGGACTGCTGCCATACAGGTTGAGCATCCCTAATTTGAAAATCCAAAATCTAAAATGTTTCAAAATCTGAACCTTTTTGTGTGCCAACATAACTTCAGAAGTGGAGTCATGTGATGGGTCACAGTCAAAACGCAGTCAAAAATGTTTCATGCCCAAAATTATTAAAAATATTGTATAAAGTTACCTTTAGGCTATATTTATAAGATGTATATGAAACATAAATGAATTTTGTGTTTAGACTTGGGTCCCATCCCTAAGATATCTCATATATATGCAAATATTCCAAGATCCGAAAATAAAATCCAAAATCTGAAACACTTCGTGTCCCAAGCATTTTAGATAACAGATACTCAACCTGTGTATACTATGTTTTTTCCTATATATACATTCCTATGATGAAGTTTAACTTATCAATTAGGCACAGTAAGGGATTAACTATAATTATAAATAGAACAATTATAGCAATATACTGTAATAAAAATTGCTTTTCCTCAAGATATTGTGCTGTACTGATGTGAGATGACAAATTGCCTACGTGATGAGATGAGGTGAATGATGTAGGCATGTGATGTCGCGTTAGGCTGCTGTTGACCTTCTGATGCTGCGTCGGCAGGATCATCTGCTTCACATGATCCTGGATCGTCAAGCCATGACAATGTCAATGGTTAGATGTTGGGAGCAGACGGTGTCGCTGACTGATGGACAGGAGCCTATGCAGTATGGATACCCTGGACAAAGGGATGATTCACATTCCAGGCTAGATGGAGTGGCACAGTGTGAGAGTTCATCGTGTTACTCAGAGCAGCACGCAATTTAAAACTTACAAATTGTTTATTTCTGGAATGTTCCATGTTATTTTTTTCAGTTCTCAGTTGATCTCAAGTGACCAAAACTGCAGAAAGCCAAACCTTGGATAAGGAGGGATGTACTGTATTCCAATGACGCTGAGTCTTTCTCTACCAAATATCTAGAGTTTTGCACTATTTGTAAAAGTACCGTGGAGCAGCTCCCATGGGACTGCTGAGGAGGACCTCACAGACTAAACCCCAAGCACAGCACTCTGCTGTCAGGCACTCCAGGTAGGACAGTGAACAGTAGGCACGGGAACAGGAAGCCGGCGATTCCGTGTGTGGGAGCCCGTGCGGAGTGCCTCTGCCTTCCCTCCTTCCCACTTGAGATGTCCCAGGCTCTGGACATTGACGATACTCAGGGCCTGCTTCCTGCGCCCCGCACTTGGCCTGTTGATCTATCATCACAGTCCTGACATTCTTAATAATGCTTCTTCGTTTTTCACTGGGCCCCACAAGTCATGTAGCTAATCCTGATAACTATAGAACTTGGTCATTAAAGCATGGCCTTTTAAGAAAAGGCTAGGAATCCAGTATTGTACTTTTTAATTTAATGAAAGGGGCCAGGTGCGGTGGTGCACACCTATAATCCCAGCGCTTTGGGAGGCTGAGGCAGGAGGATTGCTTGGGGCCAGGAGTTTGAGACTAGCCTGAGCAACATAGCAAAACCCCATCTCTATAAAAAAGAATTTAAAAATTAGGCAGGCATGGTGGTGCCTGCCTGCAGTGTCAGCTACTCAGGAGGCTGAGGCAGGAGGATCGCTTGAGCCCAGGAGTTCAAGGTTGCAGTGAGATGTGATCGTGCCTGGGTGACAGAGTGAGCCCTTGTCTCAAAATAAACAGATAAATAAATAAAAGGAAAGCATGAACTTGAGTTGGAATTGCTTTTTTAAAAAGTAGACTTTATTTTCTAGAGCAATTTTAGGTTTATAGTAAAATTGAGAGGAAGGTACAGGGAGCTCTCCTATCCCCTCTGCCCGCACCTGTGCACAGCCTCCCGCATTACAGAGCTCCCCCACCAGAGTGGTGCATTTGTGACCCTCCAGCCAATGAACCTACGTCGACAG